TAGCAACTTCTCACACTCTTAAAAAACACCATAAAAATAATGTTTTGCCCAACAGAAGCTGCACACATCCTTGGCTCATGCTGCAGAGTCAACATGAACAGATACATTACACTGTGTACCGACAAAAAGCAGAAACCAGGTTTTCATCTCAGTAAATGAGATTACATCATTAGTAATCAAAACAGACAGAGGTTCAACTATGCTGCTGCATTGCATTGAATGTTTCACGGTACAGCTTGAGTCAGGGAACAGGTGATTCAAACATAGAATAAATTATTGTCTTTTGGGAAAGATGGAGAGAAAGAAAAGAAGAGTTTAGTGTCATAGATATAATCTCTTCTGTGCTATTTGCCTTCATGGTCAGAAGTTAATGTTTCAGCTTCACCTGCAGACAAGGTCAGACTTTTGTCTACGCACAATTAGTGAGGATTTGGATGAACTGTTTTGCTCCCTGAGGGGTGGGAATGGCAATCCCTATATCACGTCATCAGAGAACTAGGTAAGAACACCTTCAACTGTTCTAATCATACTTTATTGTATACATCTTTCCACAACTATAGGTTTTCACTTCTAAGAAAAGGGTTCCTAACCACATTCTACTATAAAAGAATTAAATAAATTCCTATGTATATTTGCATATCCATGCATATGTGTGTGTGTAATCTACATTCATGGACTAACAGATGCTGTGGGGCACCCAGCCAGAAAGCAGCTTGGCAGAACAAGAGCCAGAACTGTGCCCTTGCCTCAGAAGGCAGGTGATACCTGAAGCTGCATTACATGAAGTATTGTCAGTAAGTCAAGGAGAATGATTCTTCCCCTAGAGTGAGCACTGGAGAGGCCAAATCAGGAGAGTTGTGTCCAATGCTAGACTCCTCAGTACAAGAGAGACATGAACATACTGCAGAGAATACAATGAAGGCTCACAAAGATGATGAAGGCACTGGAGCACCTCTCCTATAAAGGAATGCTGAGAGAGCTGGGTCAGCTTATCCCAGAAAAGAGGAGCCCTTGAGAAATCTTATTAATGTAAGATTCATAAATACCTGAAGAGAAGGTGCATAAAGGAGAGATGCAGACTTTTTTCAGTGGTGCCCTGAGGATGAGAGTTAATGGGCACAAACTGAAACACAGGAGGCTTCCTCTGAACATCAGGAAACACTTTAATACGGTTAGGGTACTGAGCACTGGCAGAATCCTTGGAATTATTTAAAACTTTTTAGACAGAGTGCTGTGCAAATGGCTCTAGGTTATCTCTGCTTGAGCAGTTGTTTTGGAACAGAGGTTATTCAGAGGTTCCTTCCAACCTCAGGCATTCTGTCTTTTGACTCTGTGACTGTGTATATGTTTATCACATAATGTAAAAAAATACACACACATACACCTTTAAATACATTATCTGTAGTGTTTCTGTATTGTTTTACATGTACTAATTTTGTTAGGGTTTTTTAACATTAATGGGTTTTATTTAAAATGCATTCAAAAATTGAAAATTGAGGAAAACTGTGGCACCATTCAGGCACAAAAGTAACTTATACTTTTTGAAGAACTGAAAAAAGGTCCACTTAAATACAGTTTTTGCTTGTTTCTTAATTGGCTTGTTAAGTTACTCTCTGTAAAAAATGCTATCAAAAGTCACAGGAAAAATATTTTATAAGCTTGAATTAACAATTCAAAAATGATCTAAAATACTTCAGCATTAATAAGGTATAAGGATGCCACCACATTTTTACTCTCCCCAAATCCCTTAAGAATAAAAATGAGCATAAATTATGTTTTCTGTACAGATGGACATTAAATATATGGAACATCTATTGAAAAGTGTTCTGATTATATTATCTATTATATAATATTGCCTATTACATATATTATTACCTATTATAACATGAAATAAGTTCTTATGTTGGGCAAGCCACCAGTCTTTCTTTTTTGACTTGAAGGAAGAGATAAAAACCATTTTAGTTTAGAAGATGGTTCCAAGAAAATCAAAGAAGCAAAAAAGTTTCTATGGCAACATTGCAGGTTCTATTATTTAATTTTCGGCTTCATGACAGTTTCCTTTTAACAAGTTAACACTGGCTTGCCTTCTCCTAAATTTATCTACTGGATTATGAGTTACAATGTTTAATATTGCACTGCTTAAGTCTGACTACACTGCCAATACAATTACTGCACCTTGAGAGTGAAATGAGGTATCATGGAAACTCAGACTATAAATTTAAACCTTCATTTTAAGTGGCTCTCAGTACAATCTTTCCAGTCTGTCAATAACTTCTGTAGTCTTTGACTTCCTCTTTTTTAAGTGAATTTAAAACTAAGGAATGAAAGTATTTGCTGTTTTTTATTTTTTTCCAAAGGTTTAATGATGAGCTGCTAATTTTGACCTGGCTTCTTTCCAGAGAAATCTTCAGTCAATTTTCATTGCAATGAAAATGACAGAGGGTGTTATTTAATATATATTTAAGTATAAACCAAAACAGAGAAAAAAAACCCAAAAAAAAACCCAAAAAAACCATTTTGTAATAAAATAGTAAAATTTCACTTTCAGTTCTCAATAATTTTTTGTTGAAATTCTGTTATGTCTTAATTCTAATTTTGAAAAATACCTTACTCTTTTAGCATTACAGTTGATATATTTATGATGCAGTTCTCAATTACAGAGCAGCACCAGTGTATAAGACTCAATTTCTAGATTAAATTGAACAGAAAGTTCAAGAGAATTGCCGATATTTTACTGTAAAATATTTATTACTAAATTTCTTCATAAAGAGTTTTTAAACTTTTTCTTTTCATGTAGCCAGCTCCCTAGTCACCTACCTCCTTGCTACATAAATGCAGCTCAGCAATAGCCAAAACGTGTTACCAGCACTGTGTAAGAGACTGAAATGGTTGATGGCTTAAACATTGCTAAAATCATTGGAGGACTTTTGCCCACTGTAGAAAACTGCAAAGATCCAGTTGTTCATCTGTGGCCATCAAAACCCACATCTCCCTAAATATGCCTACTAACTGGAATTTGGACTGTGAGGGGAACTTGAGATGTGATAAAGGGGGCACCCCAGAAGTGACACTGGAAGAGAGATGGGAATGTCAGTGGCTCAATCAATCAGGGACAAGCTGCTGATGTGCAAAGTAACCTCCCAGGTGCAGTGGGAGAACACACCTGACACCTCAGGCTACAGCCTGTGGTGAACCAGGTAAGGACAGAGGCAAATCCTGGGAGGCGCACTGCTGTCTCTTTGTCCTTACTCAAGTGACTCAGCTGTGATAACTCCCCTTTGGGGAAGTATTGGAGTATTCACAGGTAGCCTGAAGGTATCAATCTCTGCTGATGGGCCATAATGGGTCTTAAGGGACTCAAATTCATTGATGTAATAGGCATCTGTATCTTAGAAGGTGTCAAAAACTCCAGAAGTGTCCCATGATCCACATTATCTCATCCAGTTGAAATTCTCCACTCCAAGAGAGGTACCTGGGCTTTCCTACCTGAACTGAATATGAACCAAATAACTTTCCTGTGCTGCGGATTTCATTGGGATTTCCTCCATCACCTGGTGATCAAACCTGAAGTTGTCACTTTGACCAAGATGGTGACCATCACTTCAACAGACAGCAACAATTGCCTCAAACAAGTCTTGCCTTGAGGCCTGTGGGTGGTAAGGTCTTTCTAATATTATGCCTTCCTTCTCTTTCTTAAACATTTTCTTAAGTGATATTTTTATGCTTTTATATTGCAACTAGTTATATACCTGTTTTTCTGTGCAATCAAATTGTTCTACAATAAAGCCTACATGTGTGTGTTTAAAAACAACAGTTATTCAGAGTTGTTTCACTCCCCAAGGAATCTATTAACAGGATGGGTTACTCTCACCTTCTTTTTCATCAATAAGTGCAAAATACAGCACATTATCAGCTGTCATGAAGAAAGTTCACTCCACTCCAGCCAGGCCCAGTACACTAACTGAAAGGAGAACTGAGTGTATGGAATTATGGAAAAGAATTGCTACTTAGTTCTCTGGGAAAAGGGAAAAAAAAAAAAAAGGAACTGAAGCATGGAGATCCAAATGACTGCCAATGGTCAACTAGGTAACTAGGCTGCAGGCTGCTCACTCACTCAAATCAGGGCTTCTGCCAACACTGGATTTAGTGATCTGGCCTAGCTAATTCAGGAAAATTAGCTAGGCCTTTAAAAAACTGCTTCATTTGTTCACTGCATTCCAAGTGATTCCTCCCCAAGCCAATGTCCGACCTGAACTGTCCATGCTACAAGTTAGTTTGTCTCTTACACTTTGTGATGTGCTCAGGAATGTGGTTCCATGATCTTACCTTCAGGTCTTAAGCTGCTATTAGCTCATTGCTTAGCCTCCTTTTCACTAGTTTGAACAAGCCCACTTCTGCTTCTTCTTTCTAGACATACCATCTTGGTAGCCCACCCCTGAATATTCTCCAATTTTTTCCTATGCCTTTCAAATCATGGGGTACAAAATTGGAAACGATTGTGTAGGTGCAGCCTCAGCAGCACCAGGTATTATGGGAATAATAACTTCATATTGCCTGGTGACAGAATTTTTTGTGTTGTAAAACAATACAGAGTTTTCTTAATTCGTACTGTTGACTTATCCTCAGCCTGGTATCTGTACAAATCCCAAGTGTTTGGAGTTTTTTATTGTTGGTTTGTTTGTTCTGTTTTGTTGGTTTTTCTGAGAATATTTGTTATTCTACCTGTTTTTTCTTAGCATGTTTGAAAATCTGCAGTTACTCCTCCTCAGTTTCACAACTCTGCCCTTCTTGTGAATGTATTGGTCCAATCCTCAAGTTTATTGAGATCACCCTGTGTAAAAGGTTGCCACTAATTTTTTCTGATTCTGAACAGCTTTGTTTTTAAACACACAGTGTGTTCAGAAATTGAAGATTATAAACTGAGAGAGTTTTCACAAGCACACAATAACAATGATGTTCTTGTTGTTATTATGGTAATGGTTACATAATTTTAAAAATACCTGAGGTGGAAGGAGTGGTAATCTGATATAAGCAAGCAGCATACTTAGGTCATTGCATCGCCTCTGCATATCATATTTCACCCACATCATTAAGGCATGGAAAATGGTCTCTTCATCAGGAACATTCACATCATCACTGGCAAGAAGTTTATGGAGTTCTTCAGCAGGTAGAAGTAAAAATTCTTGATTTCTTATAACTTCCATTATATTCTCCTGAGAAAAGAAAAATATTTCAGATTCAGTAATACTGCCAGAAAATTAAAAACCATGTTAAAGCTAATAAACCAAAGGATTAGTCAATATCTGCCATACCCAGATATGGGTAATGCTTTACCATATCCTTGCAGCTCATGAGAAAAACAAAAGATAAATTATTAGAGTTCAACAGCTATAGTTGCAATTCATATATAAATATATTTCAAAAACAAGATGAGGATTATATGGTAATATCATAATTAAAATTGTCAGAATTAGTAAAGGCTATTGTTTGAAATTTTTATAAACTCAGCTGTAATTGAGTTTATATTGTAAGTCTTTACATACTCATACTATGAGTATGTAATATATATTGTGAGTCTTTACATACTCATACTACATTTTCCAGGATATTTTCACTGTCTTTCTTTCACTATTTCTTAAATAACTTGTCAGTCATATTATGTCAGTTGTATTATGAATATCTAGATTTCTGTCTACACATATGACGAGGCTGAGGGGACCATCAACATAATGAATTAAAGATTATTTTTTGACATTGTTCAGAACAGATTTTTAATATCTAGTTATCATGCAAATAAATAGTTTGTAGCAATTAAGATGTCACAGTATTGAGAACTATTGTACTGTTGCAGTTTAGGAACTGTACTCCCCAGTTCAGTGCCCCCACTGAGACTCTCCAAACCACTGACACTCTCTTGCTCTCCTGCTTTTCCCCTCACCCTTCCACACTGCAGTGGGCTGGAGAGGAAAATTGGAGGCACAAAAGGTAAAGCTCACTGGTTGAGATAGGAACAATTTGCAGGAAAGAGCAATGGGGTAAGGAAACAAGGAGTAACAGGAACCTTACTAATGACAGATACAAGAAAGGAAACGATTCCCACAGAAGCACAGCCCTCACACCCACTCCCCCATCCCCAAGAGACAACACCAGATGGATCCCTCTGTCGCATTTACTCAACCAGAAAGAATCCCTGGAAGAGACCTTTCTCCCCCCTTCCATCAATGACATCCGGTTTTACAGACTAACCTCTGTGTCCTAGTTATGCCTCACTCCTGGCTACTTCAAAAAAAATTGGACAGAATCAGGACAAATAAAAATAGGAATAACTAAAAACCTTTAAATAAAACCCCTATAAACTACATTTAAAAACTAAAAACAAATAAAAAACAACAAACAAACCCCCCAAAAAAGCATTGCATTTAGTTGGCTGAATCCTAACGACTGAATTAAACCCTCCTTGAACTACCTACTCTACATCAACAGGACACAGTAGAATCATAATTCTACAGATATTTTTTCTCCAAATACTTCTTTTACGGTGTTTTATCTCCATGGAGAAATTGTAAGTGTGTTTTCATATTCTCAATTTATAGACAGAAAGAAAGAGAAGTAATTGAAGACTGGAGGTAAAAAAAAAAAAAAAACAAACTAACTAAATTTTTATGTAAACTGAAAAAGCAAAAAGCAGTATTGGGAACAGTAAGTTGCAGCATCTAATTTATGAAAAATAATAATTAATTTTGTTATGCTGTTTTGGATAGAATTTTTAAGATGAGAAGTGGGAAAGAATGAAAAAACATCAGTCAAGGAGGACTTAAATGTAAGAACATCAAAACTGAGGGAAATGGATTATTCCACTGTTATACCCTCTAAATTCAGTTTTTAGCATATCAAAATCCAGCCAATGTTGCCTACAATTGCTTGATTGCGTCTCAGCGAGGGGAAAGACTGACTGGTCATCAAAACTGAAATAGAAGACATTATAACAAATACAAGAAAATAATGTGCAAAACTTACAAAAACAGAAGTATACTCCAAATCTAGTATGTCATATGCTGTCCTTTCCTGACTTATTCAATAGAGGGAAACTCTTATTTTAATTCTCCAAATTCATACTTTTTGAAATGTATTGTTTAAACATATTTATTTAAAATTAACTGCATATTATTTTATATATGGCAGCAGAAATTAATATTGCAGACATAGACACAACAAAATAATGAGATAGAAGTTTCTTGAAATTTGTAATGTAATTACAGATAAAATGCATAAGCACAGATAGAATAAATTTGACAAAGTTGAAAATTATGTTTATTATTATAACTGAATGGTTTGATACGTACAACTTAACTCAATGTGTTGCTTTTTAACTCAACATATATAGGATGCTGACACAACAGAAAATGAAAGATATATATGTGGTCATGATGTATATTGACCATGTTGTTAGGCTATCTTAACATAATTGATAATTGGATCAAAACATGACTCAATTATTTTTAAAATTACTACATTAAATGTCAATAGGTCCCTAAAAATGTAGATTTTTCTGAAATGAGGTTTTAAACCATTACGTCCTGATAAAGTTTAAACTGTGTGCGTCTAGAACATTTTAGAATAGCTTGGAAATATAAGGGAACTAGTTTGCAGGGAGGCACTTAACCACAAGCTGGCTTAATTCATTTTAATTAAAAAGTCATAAAACTCACAAGATTTCATTGCACTTCTCAATAAAATGATTTATAAGACAAAGTTTAATTAAGTCTGGTTCAACTGACATTAAATCCCATTACAAAAAAAAAAGAAATAACTCTACCTCTTAATAGGAACCAACATCAAACTTTGCAACAGTATATTAATCCAAAGACCTAATACTATAGAGTAGAATTGTGATGGTGGAACATTTCATGAACCCACAGAACTTAATTTATTAAGAGTAACATTCCAAGCAGGAGTTTTAAATTCAGAACAATAATTTTAGATTTGATAAAGGTTTCTTTTGGTCATCTTAAATTGTATTTTATCTGCATACATGCTTAAAGAGAACTTATCCCAGCCTCTGTACTGATTGCAGAATCAAACAGAGTTTTCAGACAAAACATATAAGCTCAAATCTCTTTTTCTAAACATCTGGACTTACATGATTTTCATGTTACGTGGGCATGAGTATTTCAGAAAATAAAAATATAGATTATGTTTTATATCTATAATATGCCATATATATTATAAATATACCATATGTATTCTTATATATAATATAAATGTAATATATATAATTCTGATTTATATATAGAATCCAGGTTTTTGATCTTCTGACGTAAAAACTCTTTCCTTCAACTTATTAGCATTTCCTGAACTGACTAATGAATTTTAAATCTTCCTAGATAATATTTTAACTCCTTGAGATTCGTTTCATCTGGAGCAGCAAAGCATATTTCAATGGCTAGCTGTTCTACCACAAAAATTTCTCATATGCTCATTGTGGGAAAATATCCTTTTTATTTTTTTTTAATATGTCTAGTCTTTTTTTTTGCACTTAAGGGAAGAGGATTCAACAGATATATGTGATATCTTTTCAGAATACATTAAATAAATTTTAAATTCCCCTGATATTAAGATGCAAGGTAGGAATTGAGGTACACAGTTATGCAATCACAGATTCATTACAGCTGGAAAAGACTTAAGGTCATCTAGGTCAATCTTTAATCTAACACTGCCATCTTCGCCACTAAACCATGTCCCAGGTACCGTATCTAGAAGTTTTTTGAATACTTCCAGGGATGGTGATTCCCCACTATGATCACCCCTTCAGGGAAGAAATTTTTCCTAATATCTAACGGCATTTTCCCTTGGCAAAGTGGAGGCCATTTCCTCTCATCCTGCTCTAGTGAAGTGCTTTCAGGAATGCCTAGGGCATCATGGGAAGATAAACCTTTATTATGGGAACCAGGGTACTGAACCTTTAAGCATGCCAAAGATTATGTGGCAGAGTTGGATGAGCGTCCAGGACCTATAATTTTTGACTCTAATACTTTAAGAGGCTTTGTGGATCGGTCTTCACCATCTCATAAGTCTTATAAGATGCACTGGATCTGCTCTGCATGCATCATTCACATAGCCTTTCAATGTTTTAATTAAGTGGAGTAGTAGATTGCTATTTTTAATTCAGAAAATGTAACTTAGAGTAGAAAGTATGACAATCTCTGAACCCACCTGGAAAAAGCTGTGTCACTTGATTGCTCTTCCACTTCTAAAAATGACCATGCAGTAACCATTGCTGTGGGGTTATAGCATTTGAATGGTATAGCCGCTTCACTTTTAAACCTTTTTAGCAGTACACAAGGTTAGCCTTAAATAAGCATAAAATATTAGAACAGCAGAGCCATATAAACAAAACAAATCTATGTTTAATGGTAGATAGGCAATTGCCCAAGTATCTAGTAGATTGTGCATCATAGGAACATTAAGGCGCTAATAAAATTAAACTATTGCCAAAAGGAATTTAATGCCATATGTCTTTATAATGATGACACTAACACAATTAAATTAGATTTTTTTTTTTATTCTTAACTTGTAATGATTATTATTCCACATGGAATCAAATTATCTTGCAAAAACTAGTTTTCATTGATGGTTATGTCATTGATTTCAGTAATCAGCATGTATCAGTTATAATTAAGAACCTGAAAAATATTAAATCATTTCATTTGTTGACAAAGAATGTCATATTCTGAGAGTGCTATTCAGAACCTGTTACATCAGAGTTACCAAAGAGGTAAAATGTTTAGTGGTGTTTTGGTTTTGGGTGTAGGGGTCTTATTTAAAATGTTTTATATTGTTGTGATTTGGATGCTGTGACTTTAACAATTAAAAAATTAAAATCACATAAACTTATGCCAAAAAATAGATATCCATATACTAGGCTTTCATTTATTACACACCTAATGTGTATAATATTTTATGTTCATACTACTTTTAGTTTAGAACTTAAGTTTTCATGAGAATATTTAAATAAATGAATAAATAGTGCATCTGATTTTCATATTAAATCATACTGGCAGCATACTTTCTGAAGTGATAAGATGTGAAAGAAAATTTTGATTTTGGTCAATTCCCAAATTATTTCAGTCTGAAATTATTGCTGCTGTGCTACACTGAATTCACATCTCTTGTTCTTATGCTGCATTTTCTGTATCAGGTGTGTTTCATATAA